CAATTTCAAGCCACCGAGACTGGTGGTCACATTACAACTTGGTCGATAGAATTCCATCTGCACTAAGAAGAATCGGACATACATGACATTTGTAGGTGTCATTACCAAGGTTTGATTTGATAATTTCGAATAAATTGAGCATTGGGTTGATTGTTATAAATAAACATAATATATTTGTAATATCCCAATGAGTAGAAAATTGGATTTTTCTGACGTTTCGTGGCTTAGTGTAAGTCACTTCTTCAGAGAATAAATCACCAAATTAAATTAATCCAAGTTTAAATAGTACAATGCACACACACATACATACACAAATTTACATACTTATCACTTATGAATCACCTTGACAGAAATGACATGACATCAACTTGTTCAGACCTGTTTTTGATTGATCAAATATTATTCTTGCATTGTTCCGTTGTACTATTTAAACTTGGATTAATTTTAATTTGGTTATTTATTCTCTGAAGAAGTGACTTACACTAAGCCACGAAACGTCAGAAAAATCCAATTATTTTTATTTATACATGACATTGATCACCAACCATTATTAGACACCTACCATTTGAAATCATTTAAATAATAATACATTGAGAACTAAAAAGAATTTCATAATCCAATCCCTATTATTCCGACTCTCTGTATTTCTTATTGTTTTGATATCATATTTGAAATAAGTAAATAAATTATAGGATTATTATCTTACTGTACATTGATTCATCCTTCAAACACGTATGCTGACTTAATCTAACGAATACAGTATATTAAGTGAAGCTTATCTAATCATTGTATTTACTAATTGGTTATTTTACAATACTATTTGTCCCAGGGAAACAAGAAGAATTTAGTTTAACGATCTACATTATTTCATAATGACAACTAAATTTCAAGTACTTACGAGAAAAAGATTAAGAAAATTAATAGTTTTTAAAGAAAATATTAAGACTACTGATTACTATGTAACTATCTATTATGAAATGAATTACTAAGCATTGGATACATCTTATTAAACTGTATTCTTTTCACAGAGTAATAATTTATGATACATTTTCCTAACTATTCTATTACAATGTCTTAAATATTGATGTTGTGCTCAAAAAAAAGAAAAAAATAGTTAAGGGAAACAAAACAACATCATTGTATATTGGGTAAAATTAGGAAACTACTAAGAATATTGATCGTTCCATGACAATTGAATCATTCAGAAGATTACTTCATGTAAGAAAGCTCACTTAAAGTAATAAAGACTTTTATTATCTACATGGTTTGCGTTACAATCAACTATTTCACGAAAAAGAATATTATTCGAGCAAGTTTCTCTTCAAACGTGGTTCTAGTACATAGTTTAACATATTAAGTGGTGTTTTTTGATCAAAGTTTTCACTTGTTTTCATATACTTTTACATTGGATTTAACTTTGAGGATTTTCTTACTGTATAACCATGTTAACATAAAATAATTAATATTGTTTCATTGTTATATTGTGATGTAAACTACTTATGTCGACAGATATAAGTAGTATGCAACATCAATCAGATGTGAACACCCTGGCAGCAGGAGGCTGAGAAGATCAAGTTGAAGAGAATAGAAAAGGATTGAGATAAGGAAGAATTATAAAAAAATGTAAGGGGTAAATAAAAGAAATCAAGTATTCAATGTACGGTTATCATATTTTACCAAGATATTCTGTAATTTGGAAATAAAGTACAAATCAGTATCCCATCTGTGTTCTTGTTCATTACACAATATCATTAAACGTTTTTTTGAGATTAAACAATTCAGTCACCTAAAAAGATTTGCTAAAACTAATATTTTTCAAATAATTAATTTGCCTAATTTTTCCTTACTCTTGTTAATCCCAATAGAGCATCTCCATTTCCCGGCGTAATGTGTTCTTTGGTGTTCCTCTTCTCCCTTGGCCTTGAGGATTCTAAGTGAGGGTTTGTCTTTTGACGCGGTTGAGTGCTTTCCTCAATGTGTGTCCTATCCACTTCTAGTGCTTCTTCCTAATTTCTTCCTCCAGTGAGATCTTGTTTGTTCTCTCCTATAGTAGATTGTTACTGATAGTGTCTGGTCAACGGACCCGAAGTATGTTGCGTAGGCAGCTGTTAATAAAGACTTGTATCAATTAAAAATATTCGTATCATGTTTATCATTGTTTTCTGGCAAACAAATATACACTAAATTTTGTTGAAATCTTATGTAAATAGAATTTCTATTTTTAGTAACCAGTAATGAAAATAGGCTTAGAATAAATGCATTTTGCCATTCCGTGAATTTAGTATTATCCATCTTACGAATTAGTTATATAATAACTAATGATGATGATAATATATAATATGCATATTCATTTAATAAAACTACCATCGTCTTTTTGCAGTAAAACTGCAATTACAGTCGTAGAATCGACTTTTTACACTAAAACCCTGAAATGTATAATCTAAGAGCTTCAATTTGTTTGTGAAGTATTAAGTAATGGAAAAGTGTGCTAAATATGATGATATAACGATGATTAGCATGATGATTTACAGTGTTAAGATAATTCTGTGAAAGGCAGAAAAATTGAACACGAAGGGAATGTCTTATCATAATGAGTAAAATGTCTCCATGTAACCATTCAGCGTAAAGTATAGTGATATATAATTACAGAGTTTGTCATAAACCTTAATTGAATTTAATTTTTAATTTTTCTGGAGATCAACTAAACATGATATATTATCAGCATAGGGGTTGTGAAGATTGTTAAGTTTTTGATTGAGATCATGAACCGATTGATGTTAGACCACCATTGAAAACCTGGAAGCACAGGACGGCCGTCTCGTCCTAATGTGGGACTCCTCAGTGGTGCGCATCCACGATCCCGCTCGCGGGATTCGAACCCAGGGCCTTCAGTCCCTTATAGTGAAACGCTTCGAACAGTGATAGTGAAGCAATTTATTAATTCCTTTTAGTTTATCAACAAAAGCGTGTAAACCGGATGTATATAGTGTTTATAGCGAAGTAAACGTTTCAAAGTTAATTCGGTTTTCAATTATTTGGATTAGTTCGCTGCTTATATTTTAACAATATTTCGATTACACTAAATTGGAATATACGCATCATATGCTGGTTGCCTATATATATATTCATTGTGACAAAAGTTGATATAGAATAAATGGAACATGGCAAGCAGTGAAATCATGGATGCACATTTTTTACCACTTGGGATTTGTCAACTACATATATCTGCATCCTAGAGTTGACTTCACAAGTACGTTGCTATCTAGACAGATTATGTAAGGTGGCTATTCAATGCTTCTTAGTTATCTATGATACCTCAATCAAGACCAATGTTTGACAAATACAGTCAGTAAATACCAATAAAAATAATTTTGATAATTCACTAATATCAACACTTAGAAGACTGGAAATCAAGGAAAACTGCTTCATATTATTTTCCAAGACTGTTGAAATTTTATTTTTAAGAATTCATTTAAAAACCAACCCAATATTTGCTAAAATTATGGTAACAATAATTCAAGAAAACCATAAAAATGTTAGAACAACTGAATTGGCAAGTTCTCGATTTTCCAGAAGTTGACATCTTTAAACGACGAAAATATAAGATAGATGTTGATAATTTTGATTTTGATTATTACCCTGAAGAAGTCCAGACAAGTTAGCTGGACGAAACGTTGGAATTAGTTAAATTTCAAACGCTGAGAATATTTCAAATATAATTTTCACATATAATGACTTCTCTATACACGGCGCTCAATTACTGTCAAACTATTCGTTCTAATCTTGGCGAATATTCGTATAAATAGATGTTGATAGTTCATGTCGAAATACAACAAAAACTTCATCATTTATGCCATTGTGTATACTATGGAATAAATAGATCTTTACCTCATATATTTGATATGTGTATGTAATGTATACTTTAAGTATTAAACATCGATGACTTAGTGTGTACTATAGAATGTAAACTTCCTATTCTTGTGGGTTTCATGTATTTGTGCAAACTTTTCCGAGTGCCGAACACTGAGTCTTTTTTTTACTAAGTATAAAAACCCTCTGGCTAATAAAAGCTTACGTGTTCCTTTAGACCCTTAGTCTCCAAGTCACATTAAATTTGGATTATTACCGGAAAGATTACTATAAATCGCGATCCAAATGTTGGGTAAGGGAGATCGACACAATATTTCATTATGATTTTAGGGTTAGGATACAGAATTATCAATAGACGACTTCCCCCTGTGTTAAGAAAGATGCAATTGTTCGAATAAGATATCCAACTGCAAGACACGGCGTCCTACCTCCATCTGATATAATAATTTGAGAACTTATTCTTCATTTATTTCCCATACTTTGTTGTGCTCTGGTGTGACACCAACGCTCTGGTAGTTCTCATTCACCTACATAAATTTTTTCTTCTAGCAAACCAGCCAGCTATCCAACCTAGTTAACATATTCCTTCATGTAACTTCCTACCTTGTGCTATTTTATTTAGTAACAGTCCTTTATCATAGTTTAAACATTAAAGCAATTTATAATTACATCATTTTCCACTTAGTAAATGTTTTCATTGACTTTGCTAGAATATTTAGTGATTATTATTCATCAACATAAGACATATTTAGTTTGCACATATACTTCTATCCTTGATAATTAGAGAGATGTTTAGTTATTGTTTAATTATCAGCTTTTCATTTTTAATGTCACTTGTTGTGAAACTATGGACTTCCAGCTCCAAACCTTTCCTAAAATTACCTTAATGAAGACTATTGCATAACATAAAACCTAGGTATCATGGTTCTTTATCATTTGCCTCCAACTATCTGAAGTCTTCAATATTAACTCACGTAGATTAGTGATTACAAAATAACGTGATCATTAGCATTTTATTATCACCAAGGCTAAAATGAGTATGATATTGATTATCAATCAGTAATCAAGGATATTCGTTTATTTCAAATAAACACAACAACAACTTTCATTTGTTGACTTTTTTAAAATAGATTTTGAAGAGAAATTGAACGATTTTCCAAACAATGAAATAGAACATCTCAATGATAGTTTCGAAACTAATTTCCCAGTAAATGAACCATCTAATGAATTATATTCACCTGTGAATACAATCTTATCTAATTTAAGTAAACAACAAGTTGACATAAATCTGGATTCTAATACAAATTTACGATTTGTTAAATACTTTGTTGGAGAAACTATTCGAATGCGTTGTATCATACCCGAAGGATCTCATGTGGTAAGTCATTATAAATGTAAAACTAAATTATTTATACAGATAGTTACTAAACATTATTTAAGACAGTATTTTCAATTATATGTTTATATTAGCATACGCCCAGTTATATCTTTGATCAACTTGACAGTGAAGAGACAAATCAATAGGAAATTATATGAGTTTATAAAGGTTAAAAAATAGTTTTTTACTTGTTGGCGTCTCTTTGTAAGTTTTTGTTCTATGGGATGAGATCGCCATCCTATGCCTAGACCTTCTCAGATTTCCGACACCGACAGTAAACATAGAAAGGCTTTAAGTAAAGTTATAAATCTCAGGGCAGAATATATTGGAGAATCATGGCTTTAAGAAAATTCTATATATAAAATGTTAAGAAAATCATTTTTATTCGTCCACACTTCACAATGTTGTCTGGTTCAGATAAAGCATGTTCTATTAATCTTTCATCAGGAAAACGTTAAATCAAGTTTTACTGACAAAACCCACATACGTTTTTAAACATATTCCGTCTACTTCAGTTCAATAAATTAGACAACCCATTAATGACTAAACATTAAAGTTATTTCTGAAAGAATAAATCTCTTTAATACATTTCATATCACGAAGTATCTTAGAAACTAGGCTTTCAGATGGATATATATATATATATATAAATATATAAATATACATATTCTTAGTTGTCAACGGCTAATTGGTCATTTCGCTTCAACGATAAGACTGAATTTTACATAAGTTTTCTCATTTAAAAGTTTGAATCAAGTGAGAACAACGATTGTAACATAAAATTATGACTAATTTGATCTTAACTGGTGTAATACTTTCATAAAGATATTAGGGAGCAAATAACAAATTTACATATTTTCTGCTCCACTAAGGAAAACAAATTGAATGAAAGAAAAAGAAAGTTTGATTTATAAAATGAGCTTACCATCATCATCATCATCATAAACAACAACAACATTTGAGAGATCATTTCTTTTAATGAAATCAGTATATTCATGGAAAATATTAGCATGTTCACATATTTCCATATTCTTCAAAGACTTTTTTACATGTAACAAACAAATGAATTAAGAATGATGTGAATGCATAATTTTTAAAGTACTTTAGAACTTTAAAAAAAGAGTAGGAGTCCCATATTAGGATGGAACGGACGTCCAGTTCTTTTAGTTTCACAATGGTGTTGTAGAGTAGATCGACCCATGAATTCATATTTTAAAATGTTACAATCTTCACAAATCCCCATACAGATAATAATCATATGACTACTAGTGACTAGCTTTAAGATGTAGCTCCTGGAGTTCTAATGAGAAGCCATAACCAATGAAATCCAATTCATGTCAGGTGTGGGATAGTTATCTACCTCAGACAATGAATGAAGGGTTGTACTTCATCATTGATCGATTGAAGTAAGACATTAACACTGTTTGATGCCAATTTATGGGTTGAGTTTAAACGTTTGCACGTGTGACCGAAAGCTTTGAGTTAGAGTCCTTTGTGAAGGATTATGGATGGGCACTGCCGATGAGTTTCATACTAGGATGAAATAGACATCTAGTGTCCCCAGATTTTCAATAATAATCTAGCTTGAATCGACTCGTGAATTCAGATGTGAAAATACTTCAATTTTCACAAATTCCCATGTTGATTTAAAAAAGAACCTGAAAACAAAAACAGATTAGTAAACTCCTTTAAAAAATGTTATCTAGCATTTAAAATAAGCGGTTTACGGGAAATTGATTTATTAGGATGGTAAGATAAAACTAATTACTATCAGAACTCTATTAATTCTTAAGAGACAATATAAAGTTGTACACAGTAAATTGTCATTCTTCGAAATGCTCTCACATGGCCACGCCTACATAGCCTCTGCCAGGGAAGTCCTACTCACTGCCTCATCGTGGCGGGGGTATTGTTTACGAAGTTGAGAGGACGAAGAGCGAACGTTCGGCGCTTTAAACGGGTTGGTGGACATGGAGAGTCCATCTAGGAGAGTTGGAAAACCCTGATTCCAAACCAATGGTGCACATGGGCTCCAGTATCCTGAAGTAACAAATACCATAGAAACCAATTGTTGTTCGACCTTCAGGTCGAAGGCTCTGGAAGTGGCCCCCTAAGAAAACCACCAGCTTCGATTCGGGCACCCGGAGCAGTATCATAGTCCTCGCACATAACAAATTAGATCCGTGTGGCGCATATGTATTTGGTACCTCCTTGTACCAATATCTATGTGTTAAAATACATAAAAAAATAACAAAGTTGTTTACACTTGTTGAGTAAATCTATTGTAAACCTATAGACCATTTATCTTGAATATCACATCCTTTGTAAACAACATAATGTAATTATCTTCGTTTCTGAATTATTATTCTTAGATAATGTGGAATAAAATTGGTGAAGAATATCCACTTACAATAGGTAATCATAGATTTATTCCAGATAAACGAATTAGTATTAAACAAAAATCATCAAATAAATGGATATTACGAATAATTAAAGCTAAATTAACTGATAGTGGCTTATATACTTGTACGATTAAATCTATCCATAAAGAAGATAATATTATAAAGGATAATTCTAATGTACAAAACAATAATGATCAGATAATAAATCAAACGAATATGAATGTAACATTGGCTATTAAACAAATGAATAATCCTGATTATTATATATCTGTAGGTAAGTAAATCTTATAGTATATTGTATTTTCACTTGATTCATAATAGATATTGAAAACTTATGTTTTAATATTACTCAAGTGGAAAGTTTGACGAAATGTTTTAAATTCGATGAGTTGTGGTTGTTGTTGTCAATTATAAACAGTGATGAATGAAATCTAGAACGTACGTTTCATTCTATTTTAGGATTCATCAGCTAGATGTACCTTCATCTCAAAGTTAATGTTTACTCCAGGAATCGAACCCAGTACCGTTCGCTTTCAATATCATCGTATTATCTACATAGTTATTGAGTTCAGATAGCTACTAGCTTACATAATGTAATGAAGTTTAATTCAATTTTATATCGGTTGTTTGAATCTTCCGATTGATGTTCAGGACTGCAATTAATCAGTATCTTAATAGCATAGGTATATCCTATGCGGATTACCTACATATTGCTTTAATTCATATACATTATAAATAGCCTTAATGAACTATCATATATATATATATATATATATATATATATATATATATATATATATATATATATATATATATATATATATATATTATAAAGGGGCAGTAATATGAGTTCAGATTAACGCTAAGACATATTGGGTCTTTTAGTTAACCTCCTACTTTTTGTATGACATTTTATCATCATGTTATCTAGAAAAAAATTCAGGTTTTATTATTCAAAACTATGTTTAAATGAAATTCCTTGTAGTATGACTTATGAATAATCAACGTTCACAAATTAATGCTGTTAGTACCATATTATACTCAAAATCTCAATAAAACCATTTACTCTAATATTTTCAGAATAGAAGAAATTTGCCACAATGATAATTGTACTTCAGATTTGTATATAGTAATAAAAACTACAAAACTGGTCGATATTTCAAAAACTTTGTTTTACTCTGCTACTTAAAACATTCTTTTGTTGCTGAGCTGAAACATTTTAAGGGAGCACTGAAGGGATTAGATAAATTCTTGTCAATACTCAATGATTAACCAATTATAAACATCTCAGTTCTTCAGGTGTTCAACCTTGGCCCTAGTTGAAAAACAACAACGTCATAGAGTGTGAGACTGAGTGATCCTATTTCTGATCCTTCAGAGAGGATCAGTTTGTCAAAAATTTTCAGGTGCGCTTTACTAAGAAGTGCTGTGAAGCTTTAGGCGTTAGTCTAGGTCTCTCTTTCATCAACTCCCTACGACTACATAACATCTTTTAGACTCTCTTAGACATAGAAAACATTAAACCTTATTTGCAGCGATCAGACAAACTTGTAAAAAGTAAGGACTAGATATTTAAAAGATGTGTGTATAAGTTATTTCCTTATTTTCGAATCATTATTCTTATATGGTTTAAGATCACACATCGACCCTAATATGTTTTAGTCTTCATAACACTGAAATAATAAGTGTAACAACTATTCGCGTGCTCTTTTATTAAATAACTTATCTCAAATCAAAAACTCAGATGTTTTTATAAAAGAGATGTAACACAAGATTCACGTTTTGCTTTATTTAGGACTCATCAGCTTGAGTACCTACATCCTGGAGTTCGTATTCACCTGGAAACTAAGGTTTGGCACTCTTCGCTTCACTTTTCCAAAATGTTATTCGCTTAGCGACCAAGTTCAAGTAGCTAATCTTTGAATAACACGGATAGATTTCAATCCAGTCTATGACATCTTATCCTATTATTGACATTTTGACTGAATTTTATTCTGTCTCAGCTGGCATACGTGTATTCTGTACAGATTGCCTTCACTTAGCCATTATGACACAGTTTCATATGAATCATTGAAAATTGAATTTTAAAAAAGCGTAAATGGTTATAGCAATATTTATCTCACACTACGTTGCTTGTATATATTCGAACTGACAATTTCTAGATTTATTTGAGTCCCAAACTGTTCCTATTATATTTACCATAATAGTCACCATGCTAGTGATTACAAATGCTTATGTCTGAAGGATCTGATGAGAATGCCTTGTGTTGTATAGTAATTGCCAAGGTACCATAGTAGGTTTTCTACCGGAAGGAATTTGAAAATCAAAATAACTGACTTCATTACCTATTTGAATTAGTTAAGTGAGACATAATAATAAATGCATCAGATCAATTGAACATGCAAAAAGCCATCTAAGATTAATGACACATATGAAAATAATCTAAAATCAAAGTCATGAATACAAGTAAACAATTCATCTTCTCTTTAACCTAGTTTTGGATTTAAAATAAATTTTACTGAATAATAATTGTAAAACTGCAATATGTTCCAATGTTCCGTTTATTTGGAACTACCAGATCCATCCATGACATTGATACATAATGTAATATGTTTTCTGATTAAATATTAATCAAACAATCATCTCCTATTAAATCTAACTTGAAACATGTTGTAAAGTAAGTAGGAAAATATTTTCTAAGCAATGTAGATTTTGTTTAAATCTGATTGAGATTGATGAGATAAAATGTATTTCAAAAGCATTGCATAATTCAGGATCATTATACCTGGTTGAATTTACCGTATCGTTAGATGACTAGCTAAGAAAAGCATTGAAATGATTAGCATACTTGCATTGAAGAAACATTTTATACGAAACCTTTTTATTTACAATGTTTTTTTTCGGTAATTTGGAAATCAATAATATGTTTGTTTTACTACAACAAGATGCGGAGACAAAAACCATCAATTTTAATATTGAAAAGTTTATATTATTGAGATAGCGAACTAATCTAAGTTGAACAACCACTATACACCTGAAAGCATTGGATAACTACTTTTTACTTTAGGACTTCATAATAGTGTGCATCCATGATCATACCACAGAGAGTCAAACGCAGGACCCATCAGTCTCGTAAGCAAGGGACTAATGTATAAACCATTGAGTTAGAATTCAATGATGTTTATGTCTAACTTTAGTCAATCCATGATATTACACTAACATCAGTTTGATTGTCTCGATTTTAGGGTTGTGGATGCGCACTTTTGAGAAGTCTCATACTAAGACAAAACAGGGTTCTAGTACTTTCAGGTTTTTATAGGTTGTCTAAATTAGATTGGTTCATGGTTTCAATAAAATTCAACAATGTTCACAGTCTCTTACCGATAAAAATGATCTTATTCGTCAACAATACGGGATAATATTAAGTTGGATAACATTCAAATATTCATAGCTTTTTAAACCGTCCACTACGATTATGGCTGAATACATATTAACTCTTTTTTTTCAAAAATGGGTGTGCTAATTGTTTACTCTAAAAGAACCTTATTATTCACATAATTTGACAATTCAGTGTGGGTGAACACATACCAAAATGGTTGCAGAAACAAATGGATTCCAATGGTCAAATAAGATCACACGATAGGCAGACACTATCCTCCACTGAGAAACATTTGATTGAGACGGGTCATAAGATTGACCTCAAATCAGTATTTGTAGTGTTATACAAGAGCCTTCAAGTACGTATACTAAGGTTTATTGAAGCCTTGACTATACGGAATTTGAAACCCCCTTTATGTGTTCAAAAACAATTTGTCCTTACACTTAACCTACCCTGGTAATACTGATTTATTATCCAGATTGGTAATCACATTTGTTTTTGTATACTTTAGTATTTTTCCTCTGTTATGACTTACCCTTAACCTGTCTAGTTGATCTTTTAATTTTCATATATAAATGTTCTTAACAAGTATAAATGTGTGATCAGATTGTTCGAAATGTATTGAGCAAATATATCACATTATTCTGATAAACTTTGTCTTCTCATTGCATTATCGAAATAATATGACAAAGTTATCCACAAAACAGTTAAGCATTTCCTCGATCACTCAACATATACATATATACTACTGCCAAGTAGAATAGATAACAATTAAATGTATTTTACACACAAAAACAACATTTGTTTGAATTCACTTAAATGAGTGAGGTGTTGAATATCTCTTAGTATTTACTTAATAGTTTTGCTTTGCCAATTCTGCTGATTATTAACTTGGAGATAGATTAAAAGAATGAAATTTGAGTAAATATTCCATGAATACATTCATTATGTTTTACTAAGTTCTAGTGTATTGTGAAGATTGAATGATACTAAGGAATTTTCTACACTATCTATAAAGAATTCTTACAATGTATTGTACTTTCACTATATAGTTCTATAAGCTTAAATTTATAAATGTGGTAACAAATTCATAGCCTACGATAAAGACAGGTACTTTTCAAGGTAGTATAATTCCAACGACATTTTATTTCAGTTGGTCTAATTTAACGGTTTTCGTTGTACACATAACAAGTAGTAGTTTTCGGAATGCATTTTAACTATTCAGTTACAATATATATCTAAGATAAATAGTCTTCACTTCTCAATCTCACTGATAATGGTATTACTGAATAGATTTTTAACAGTATCATTTTATCATTTTTACCTGAAATTAGTATGAACATTTAGTTACATTCATTTAACGGTGAATCCGAATTCATTTCATTGTTTCTAATTAGACTGTAATGTTGACTGTTAATAAACATGGTGATTAATCATTAACTATCAATTATGTACTACCATTAGGTATGATTGATATTGTAAGTAGACAGTTGAAGAAGGTTTCAGAGATACAGAATCATAACATCTTACTTATTTACACTAGTTTACCAAAATTATAATAACATCTTATGACTTATCTTGACAAAGATGTTTCTGTACAGTTATATCCCGATGTGAATAACGAATGGTAATGGTTGGAATCCATTTCTGAACTAACACTATACATATATTTTTATTGTATAATTGTTCAGTAACTAAACTTTGCATATTCATGTTCTTCTTATTATAAGCTTTATTTTGACTCATAGACTATCATTATATGACTTACTGTTCTTAAGTTATGCTCAGTCTCTCACATTCACAGCTACCTTTGGCTAGATCTTGTACAAATGTTATTTACCATTTTATGGTACGATGTGGTCTGTTTGGTTTGTACATAAACCCAGTATATTTGAAATATGTGATTCATATTGCAGTGACTAAGATTTGTGTTCTGCAATTAACAGGCAGGACTAGGCTGAAGGAAGGACTGATAAAGACTCTAGACTGCTCGTACGAGCTTATTGCATCATTGGTCCGGTCGATAAATCATTGTTCTCTAATTGACAGTATCATTACATTATATATTAATAGGATCCAAAGCCACAAGTTATAACAGTACAAGTTGCAGTAATTCATTCACTTGAATTATATCTAATATTTCCATAATACTGAATAATCACGTTTATTATTAATGAGTATTATCATGAAATACATGTCTATATTATTTCTTTTTTTATGTTTCTAACTAATTAAAAGTGGAACCACGATCCAAAGAAGCGAAACAAGCAAATATTACTGTTGTATCTGATAATTTTATTTTTAAAAATAGAAGTAAGTTGATTTCAATTACATAATATCCGGTTTATTATTTTACATCTACTCATAACTGTTCTGGTTAAGATTCACTTGATATTATTTGTTTGAATCTTCCCATTGATGTTTGGGACTACAATTGATCAGTCTCATATTGTCATATGTGCATCCTGTGCGTATTGCTTCGATATAGCCTTAAGTCACAAACATTATATGCAAAGAAGGATAATGGCTAGCACTGGAATATAGGACGCGCGTTTCGTCTTATTCAAAACTTGTCAGCTGGATGTACCTGCACCTCAGAGTTGATGTTCACTCTGAGTTAAAATGTTATGTTATTAAAATTCATTTAAATAAAACGGTTAAATAATTTAATATTGTAATAGTAGATTAGCTGTATTAGTAGATTCGTTGATATGAAAAAGAAATGACCGTGCGTTTAATGATATTCAAGCTTGCAGTATCGGTTGCTATATCAAGCGCATATTACTTATTCTAGCTTCTAGACAAGACAATTTATTCATTCTAATTGAGTCACGTTTTCACCTTGTTAATTATTCACTTATAAACACTGGTTGTTTTTACATGAGCGTATATGTGTGTACACTTCTTATCCTATTCATCACATGTCTGTAACTTATTTTTTGTGACTATAAATGTTGAATGACGCTTAATCATATGAAGTTGCCTCACACGCCTTCTCCACTGCGCACTCTTTTGTTAGGCTTTACTCTCTCTCTTCTTCGCTGAGTTCGCTGCAATCCTCTAACTATCTGTTCCGATCAACGAGTGTACAGAGCATACATATTCAAACATCTCTTCTCGTTTTTCTGTTATTCACTAACACGGATTAAGTAGATTATTACATACGAGGATAGCCGACATGTGTATTTCAATAACTATCAATGTACGATCCAACTGGCATTAGATCCAGGGCCACTAAAAGTTTACTAATAGATAAATGAAAGTCATTGAAGTAAGGAAATAATTCCTTACTTATCAGTTCTGCTTTTCAGCACCACGCTTTGCTGACTTATAGAATGTAATCATACGTTTAAGTATATATTCAATTTCAAAGAAAAATTGAATTATTTGGTTTTCGTGAAGACAGGATTTTGACGTTATCTTTGCATTCAAAAGATACAATATGCCAAATACAATTTCTGTGAGCTCTAGGGTGTATTCTTATCAAACTAAATGATTATAATCATGGACGTTAGTTAGAATATACATAAAAACGAAGAGAACGATGCATATGTCGGCTTGTGATATAATTTTATGAAAATAAATTATCAAATATTGTTGTAGTGGATTCCGCTGTTGACAAATGAAAAAAAATCAATTATGAGGTCATAGTTAATGTCCGTTATTAGCTTGAATTTAAACTCAAAAAAAGCCGCTCAATACAAATACGGTATCAGTATCCCGTACCGTTTGAACTCATATGTATTGCAACCATAGTTATCAAAGTATACATTTTTTGGGAATACAGTCAATAAAATATGATATTCGTAAGTAACTATCATTTAGTCTAGGATAATGGTGTAATAATAGACGATTTATTATATCTGTACATTTACTTATATTAATAGCATTTCTATTCATAAATGCATTCACCATTTACGTAAAGTGTATTTTGTGCTGTCATACATATTGTCTTACTCAGCACTTACTGTCACTGGACCACGTGTAGTCTACTATGGCAGTCCGTTGGAATTAAAATGTTATGCAAAGTTTTCAATTGATGTTCGAGCATCCGGTTACGAAATACTTTTAGAATGGTATCATCATGGTGTTCGAAAGTCCTCGGATCCATTTAAATCTGGTGGTGTGTACATAGAACAAAAATGGTTAGATCCGAAAACACTTGAGAGTCGTTTATTTATAAAGTGGGCAAGTGAATCGGATACTGGACAGTGGATATGTTTAGAACGGTACAAACCAAGTGAAAATAACACTGAACATGATTCTTCACATATGATTCATTTAAATCCAATACATAAAAGCTTATTATCAAAGGATAGAATTCAAAATAATCGTTTACCGGTTTCATCTGTTTCAAAGAATCGGCCTTTGTCTTCAACATCTCCGTTATTACCCACTTCAAGAATAATGTTTGGAAGAATAGAAGTAGAAATTATTGGTATGTTTGTTAATAAATAAATCTATTAAAATTCATGGTATTTGATACAGCATATACGCGTTCATTGATGAAAACTTGAACCTAACACGATTCATATTACTGTACAGTATTCATCCGTTACAGTCGATAATGACGGTTTCGTCTCCAAAAAGGTTTGATTCCTCCATCTGCTTCTCAAAAACATGTCGAATCGTTTTCGAGAATATAGTCACAGAAGAGTTAGGATATGAGTTTTATAGAGAACATTTCATTCAGTGATCATATGAAATACCAGGCTAACATATAAACTAGTGAATCAATTTCGAATACCTTGTCAGTAGTAGATTCATCAGTATCCATATACCAACTTTTTTATTGAAGCCATTGAGAAATATTGCTATTAGTAAGAACATTACTTCAACACGTTAGTTGGTATACTTTCGTTGTATTTTCCTTATGACTTCAGTTGACTGCTTGTCGTGATGCAAAGCAGTTCCCCATAGTAAAATGTATTACAAAATATATCATGTACCTAAAATACTCAAGGAATTATAACTCAATCTGTGTTTTTACCGAATGTCTACGTAGGGTGTAAAAATATATGTCTGACAAAGTAACAACCAGGTAATTGTTATTTCAGAGAATACTACAAAATTCGTCAAACATTTTAGTGGTCAAATAGACATAAAAAACACTTTGCTCTCAGATATATTTATAAAATACTGTTTGGTGACTTATTAAAATTGAGGAAACGTCTTTCTTATAAGCTACTATTGGTGTATTTCGTCATATATATTTACATGTTTATAGTGTTACATTAAAGCTATACATTTATAATTTACGTTCCTAAAACTTATTCCCCGCTGCTGTTTATACTCATGATTTTGTTGTGTTCTAGGACCTACCGCTAAATACTTGAAGTTAGTTATGAATGTAATTTTCACTGCATGAAGTAGGAACATGGAAGATTAATACAAAAATGATAACATTTTGACCCCCCAAAGCATGAACTGTCATTGAAATAACTGCCGACATAATTATGTCCATATATATGTAACTTGAATGTTGACACAAAAGATCCAAGTAAGAACATATAAACATTAGATAGGGATTTAGCTGACAACCAAAATGGGTCAAAGTCAATGTCTGATTGCACTAAATTTACACCGAATAAAAGTCATAATTATTATTGATTGAACTGAATATTAATTCATATGAATTAATAAATTATTTACTAAGCAACTATTATTAAACATTAACCACCTATAACTATCAGATATATCTAAATGATTATTCCTTCTTAAAATGTGATTGAATCTTATCGATTATTGGAAAAAGAAATCAATATTAGCTATCAGTAAGTACTCTAAAATCAATTTAAATCCTTGTTCACTATATCGCTTGCCAATTTAGATTTTAAGGATTGAATAGCTTACTAAATTGTTTTGAATAACTAGAATTGATAATGAACACACTATTTTAAGTATAGTTTCATAAAAACAATCTAGAATTCCCTCTTATTTCTAAAGCAATCGTTCTTAACTAGTGAGAATTACAATTGTATCAGAAGGGGTTTTGTGGAGATTGTAGTAATTTCAACAGTTGAGGTCATAAGTCAATTGAAGCTAGGCCACCATGGAAAACCTGGAAGCAATGGACGGCCGTTTCGTCCCATTGTGGGACTCCTCGGCAGTGCGCATCCACGACCCCGCCTCGCGGGATTCGGACCCAGGACCTATTGGTTTTGCGCAAGGCGCTTAACCAACTAGACCACTGAGCCGACTGGCATCCAACGGTGTTAATGTCTAACTTCAAATAATCCACGAAATTGAGCGACACATCCACCATTGTCATAAGTGAGTTACTACCTGACAACTGACCCGGTTGAACTCCACTGGTTGCTGCTTCTCACTAGAACTCCCGGATATATCTCTTGAAGTCAGTCACTAGTGAGCATACGTTAATTAGTATTAGAAGGCGTTTTGTGGTGATTGTGGTAATTTCAACAGTTGAGATCATGAGTCAATTGAAGCTAGACCGCCATGGAAAACTCGCGAGGCGGGGTCGTGTGTGCGCACTGCTGAGGAGTCCCACAATAGGACGAAACGGCCGTCCACTGCTTTCAGGTTTTCAATGGTAGACTTGCTTCAACTGACTCATTATCTCAACTGTTGAAATTAGAAATGTGTCCAAAGTAGGCGTTGTTGATGACTTTGAACCTTTAATTAGTTTATTAATCATTACATACAATAAATTTTCACTATCTGTCATAAAATTAAACCGCCTATAGCTCTTCTAGGATTATTGTCGTTCTCAAGCCCGGAGAGTTAAGCATAAAATCAGCAATTCTATCCAGTAGAAAACAACCTTACTAAAATAAACGTTAACTAGAATAATGATAATACAAAATAAATTTGTTTACATGTTATCATGTGTAACATTTTGATCTTTTGAGTTCATTTTTAAAAAAAAAACGTTACCCCATTTTCGATAATGTTTGTTTTGATCATGTATTCAATGGATTTCGGTTTGTAATATCATTAATTTAATGTTTTATATTCTATTCTTACTCTCTATTATAGATATATCAAAAGCTTCAATCCATTTAAATGGGCTAAGATCAAAAGATATAAATTATATGTATAGTAATACTGGTTCCAATTGTAAATTACATCAGTCCATAATCAGTAACATCACTTATTTATACAACATTAAATGGTTGTTTATAAAAATATGTTTATCCATGATCATTTTAAACTATTTTTTATAATAAGCCTAGTAACAGATAATCTATCTGTTCATTTCACAGATAATTATGTAATTTCTATTATGATTTACTTACATTCCATTCTATATATATTAATTTGTAAATATTATTAAATTTCAATAAATATTTTGAAAGATCCACAAAAAAAAAGAAAACTCATCTGTATAGTTTAATGTTGATCAAAAGAGTGAGATTATAATTTATAGACGATCCAATTAGGTCGTGGCGTCAATTTCAGTACCTGTTGCTTATGTACGATTGGTTCATAATGGATTTTTAGAGAAAACGTGATAATTGACTAGCTACAATAAATGGGATTATTAGGAAGTTCCTTTATATTTGTGATTGTGATAATTAAATGACTTGTGGATATGGTGCAGGCTACCTTAATAATGTCTTCTTTCGATGTAATATGTATTGGAGGAAACAGTCTTCTGAAATACGAATTTTTGCTCGATCTAGATTAAGACTAAGGCATATTATAATAATTGCTGTGAACTGGATAATGAAAGCATCAGTAACACTGGCTACACTCGGGTACTACAATATATACAGATGATTGGCGAGCGTATAGATGTCTATATAGACTTGATTATGTGCATCGTGTGGATCCAACAACCAAACAATATTAAAGCTATGTGATAGAGGCTGAAAGAGTCTTAACCACCTTATCATAGCTCCAGACGTCTGCTAGAATACGATTGAGACTAAGGCATACTATAATAATTGTTGTGAACTGGATAATAAAAGCACCAGTAACACTGGTTATGTGGTGTGTGCTACTTATATTGACATAAGTAGTAGATGGTATTAGTCTTAAAGAGAAGGTCTGGCAGCAGAGAGACTACAGGATCGGACGGTAAAGAATGGAAACAAAATGCAATTTGTATGAAAATGAAACAACAATAAAGTCTGAGTCATTTTGAGACAATCGATGGACAGTTTACAAATTAAGCATTTATTCTATGATTGTTAGATTTTATTAACAAGTTCTGTAATATTGTGTTGAATACATTCGATTGTCCCAACCCGTGTTCTTGTTCACTACTATAGTCCATATATAAATCCCAGCAGTTACCGTTCACTTACTTACTGTTCGAATATGCCAATCTTATGTTTCTGATCTCAGTTAACTTCAGAATACTTTAACATAACCCAATATAAATTCACTGCTACAAAAAATTTCATTTTTATACACATAATAAATATTATTAGAGAGGAAACTCATTGTGGACACTTCTACAATAAACAGAATAGGGAATACATTTCAACGGATATAACTTTATTAAAATTATTGGTGATGTAAGTAAATGAATTACTTTATAGGCTATTCAAAGAAAAGTTTAAGCATTTATCATAACAATTGAATAAGGTCAAGTATAGTTGTAGCAGATGACAATATTGTTTTTAACAAGTATTAAGTTCTCAGAATTACCATTAAATATCTATGAAACTTTTATTTATTCGAAAAATATATCTGTCAACTAGACGAGTTGATTAAATACGAGCTGATAAGATAAATATATAAAATGATAAAAGAGTTTTCACAGGTTGAAATCATGAGTCAATTGAACCTAGACCACCATGGAAAACCTGGAAGTTAGACATTAACACCGTTGGATGCCGGCCGGCTCAGTGGTCTATTGGTTAAGTGCTGGTGCGCTAAACCAGTAGGTCCTGGGTTCGGATCCCGCGGGGTGCGGGATCGTGGATGCGCACTGCTGAGGAGTACCATACTAGGATAAAACGGCCGTCCAGTGGTTCCAGGTTTTCCATGGTTGTCTAGCTTCAATTGACTCATGATTTCAACCTGTGAAATTTCTGAAAATCTCCACAAAACCCATTCTGATAAAAGAGTTTTCATTAAGATCATAAACTGATCGATGTTAGACCACTATTAAATAAATGAAAGCACTAGAAGGTCGGGCAGTGCATATTCATAATCTCTCACGCAAACACTTAACCTCTAGACCACTGAGCTATCATCCAACAGTGTTAATGTCTAACTTCAACCAGTTCATGGTATTGCGCGGCCATCTTACATTGTTGTCGATGGGTAACTGCCTCACATCCGACACAGTAGATATCCACTGGTCACGGCTTTTCACCAGAACTCTGAGAATTACCTCTCGAAGCTAGTCACTAGTGAGCTCATAATAGTTATCAGTATATGATTGTGGAGATTATCGAGTTTTAATTATGATCATAAACCGATTGATGTTAGACCACAATTAAAAACTTGGAAGCACTGTACGACTGTTTCATCTTAGTAAAGGATATCTCAGCAGTGCGCATTCACAATTCCGCACTCCAAACTCAAACTCTAAACCTTTGGCCTTGTGCGCATATCCAAAAATCCCTATACTCAGTCAGTCAGTCAGTAACAACGTAGAACTTCGTACGTACGTACATCAGTTCGAGTTGCCACACCACATTAGCACAGAGATGCAGTTGTCGATTCAATCCCGTAGTGGTAGAGGTAATAAGAGTATAAGCAGTAATCGGGAAGATTAGGGTTTGGAGATGTTATTTAAAGAGTATAATACACTGAAATAAATTTGGAAGGAGGAAAAAAGGGACATGAAGAATTCAGAAGATTAGAATTTGGGAGAACACAGAGAGTGGATGCACCTGCGCCATTGCAAACGATTTTGAGCCATGTCATTCAGGGTCTCCAACCATCGGTTGCTATCATCTCGCGGTCCCCAACCAGGTAGTCTACACCTACCAACATGACTCAGTTCACTTGTCAGTGACTTCATGGATTTGTGCCATGTTTTGGTTTGGCCGCCCCTAGCTTTCTTCCAACCTACTCCTATACCACTGAACATAGCACGTCGAGGCAGTCGGTCGTTGGGCATACGTAACACGTGTCCCAGCCATCTCAACTGATGAAGTTTCACTACTTCATCAATTGATTTGCCATCCTTACCTAGTACCCGTTTCCTAACAACTGTGTTACTTACTCGATGGTCCCATGATATACGAGCAATGTTTCGAAGACACCTATGATCAAATACTAGTAACCTACGAATATCCTCTACTCTTACCGGCCATGTTTCACTGCCATAAAGTAGGACGGAACGAACTGCTGCGCAGTAAACACGTCCTTTGATTGATAGACGGATATCTCGCCTACGCCATAAATGACGCAAGTTGGCAAAAGCTAGTCGAGCCTTCTGTATCCGTGCTGAGATTTCGTCACACACCAAACCACAAGGGCTGATGAGACTTCCAAGATAAGTGAAGCGGTCGACACACTCAACTACTTCACTCCCTATCACTAGTTCGGGTGTCGATGTAACCCAATCCTGAAGCAACATTTTGCATTTCGAGGGAGAGAATCGCATCCCGAACATGCTTGCATTGTTGCTTAGAGTGGTCAGAAGACTCTGCATTTTGTCAGCGTCTTCACCAAATAAAACTATGTCATCAGCATATTCTAAGTCAACAAGTGAACCTCCCGGTAGAAGTTCAACCCCTAGAAATTTAGATGAGGAGAGTGTTATCTCTAAAAGTACGTCGACCACAAAGTTGAACAAGAATGGGGAGAGTGGACAGCCCTGACGAACACCACTTGAGGTAATCAATTCTGATGACAGTTCGCCATAAGCTCTCACTCTACCAGTTGTGTTCGAGTAGAGAGCCTTTACAAGGTTAATGTACTTCTTTGGTACTCCTTTCAGTGACAAACACTGCCATAGAACCTCACGATCAACAGAGTCGAATGCCGCCTTAAGATCGAGAAATACTATCATTGTGGGGCGTCTGAATGTGTGTCTATGTTCTAGAACCTGACGTAGTGTGAATATCTGATCTATACAACCACGTCCAGGTCGAAAACCGGCCTGGTTTTCTCTAATCTGCTCTTCACGAGCTTTGATTAGGCGCCGAAGTATTATTGAAGCTAATATTTTAGACACTATATTAGTCAAACTGATTCCTCTGTGATTGTCACAAGAAGATTTTTGTCCTTTCTTATAGACTGGCACAATCAGTGATTGAGACCAGTCAGATGGAATTACGTCCAGTTCCCAAATTCTACCTAAGACCTCGGTTAATCTCACTGCTAATACTGGACCACCATCCTTAAAAATCTCAGGAGTAAACCTGTCAGGACCTGCTGCTCTCCCTCGTTTAAGATTTCCTATGGCTTTTTCAACTTCGAAAAGGGACGGAGGACCTACATTAACTTGCCATTCAGGTTGACTGGAGATCGTGGGAAGCCGAAGTGTGGCTGAAGGCCAGTTGAACTGATCCCTAAAGTGTTCTGCCCATCGATCCAATCTCCTGGATTGAGAATGAATAATATGTCCATCTTTCTCTGAGATTGTTTCGCTAACAGTCGGGTTCCTAATTCCGGTTTCCTTAACGAGTCTGAACAATTGTCTGCTATTACCTATCGCCGCTGCCTTTTCCATCTCTCTTGCTTTCGCTACCCACCACTGTTCGCGATCATTGCGTAGACTTCTTGTCAGCTTGCGCTTAAGCTGACTCCGCTCTTCATTATGTTCAGAGCCAGGTGGAATGAGTTTCCAAGCATCTATCAGTGAGATTGATGCTGCTGAGATCCAGTGTTGCTCCCTAACCTTCTTGTTTACCTTACTAGCAGATATCACTGCTGTTTCCACAGCTTTTCGGATATCATTCCATGCTGCATCGGGGTGGGCATCACCTACATGGCTGCCTAACTGTTTTCCTAGTTGTTCCTGAAATATACTCTTAGCTTGACTATCATTAAGTAGGGCCCTAAGAGGTTTCCTTGCAGCGTCTTTTTTACGTCCAGTAAGACGCAAGCAAATGCGCGTTCGCACTAGAGCATGATCTGAATCTAAGCATGTGCTCCAGAATGAGCGACAGTCTTCTATCGAGCCCCTCCATCGGTGGCTGATAGCGATGTGATCTATTTGGGTCCAACGTTGGGACGAATTAGGTGGTCGCCATGTTAAAAGATGTTTTTCCTTATGCTTAAAGTTAGTATTTGCAAGGAACAGGCGGTTATCTGAGCATAGCTGCAACAGACGGTCGCCATTATCTGTT